AAATTATTGAATAGCTTTTACAATTACTTTCTAATTTTTTTCGCAGCGTATTCCCGATTACCTTCGAACCGTAGTTCTCATCATAAATTTATTCATACTGATATTTAAACTGTAATTATATTTTATGTTTTATTATTATTTTTAAAATTATTTTTTAAGTTGCTTCAAATATGCATAAATTATTATTTTAGAGATTCAAAACTTTTTAAATCTTCATGAGCAGGCTATAATTTTAGCCAAATGATAGACTATTATTTTAGCCATTTTGGAATCCTATTATTTGAGCACAAGGAGGAAAAGAAATTCTGATAATATTACCGTACTTGTTTGGTAATGATATTTATAGCAGCGAAATTATAATTTTGGTAATAAAACAAAAATACATGGTATTTAAACCTTTCATTTGGAAATTTTTCCGTTTCTATGGTTGCTGTTTATCTATATTTCTGGCTTCTAAGTACTATAGTTTTTCTTACAACACATATAGTAAAAATACAAAACAAAATAGAAAATTTAACCGAAAGGGTTTTTATTCCATATCTTCCTTTACCATATTTTCTACCAAATAGTGTTGTAATATTATATTTTAATTTTAATTTCACCAAAAGTGATGATGAATCACCTCGGTGAAAACTACCGAGCTTTTTGGTGCTCTCATAGAGCCAGAAACACGGTAAAATTTACTATATTCTGGTATCATATTTTTTTCTTATCGTATGGGAATGAGTTTTTCTTTATAATTAAGTATGAGAGCGAGTTTTTTGTTACATAGATGCGCTTACTTAGAAGGAGTTTTTCGTTTTTACTAAGTTGCGTATTAGAGTGAGTTTTAACTTATAATTTAGATGAATTATTGCAATTTAGTTTTTCGTAACAGAAATAGTCTACCAACTACGCTTTACGGTAGTCAAAAATTCATTAAAGTAACATTAACGGGAAAAAAATTTTTTGATTTACGCTACGGTAAGAAAAACATTTATAGCTTTTTTTCTCATTAACTGTAGACAATTCTATGCCTAAAGAATTTAAAAGACATACATCAGTGATATTTGCTAGCTCAAAGCTCTATTTACTTATCAAAGGAAATTATTCTGCGCTCCTAATTCCTAAATTTTTTTTTTATTCGTCCGGCCAAATAATCTCAGCTTCCAGCGTGGGTGGTTTGTGGGGGTTACGTTGACAATTTAGTATTTCTGTGAAGTTATCTGAAACCAAATGTTTATTTTGCTTACAGTTACGATTTTGAAACTTATTTTTTGAAAATTAATTATTTTATCTCATAATCAACGATAATGACAACGAAAGAGAAATTATTAACTGCCCTATTAATTTCGTTAATAAATACTACTAGTATTAATGTAATTTTTCGCTGTTTTAATAAGTACCTAATCTACTAATATGAGTACTTAATATATATACTGTAGTCATGACGCCCGTTGGCTGAGTGGTAACGCTTGGCGCTCTCGTAGCACAGGTCCTCGGTTCGAACCTCGGTCAAGGGAAGATTGGTTCAACCTTTCATTTCAACTTTTTTGGTTCAACCTTTCAATCCTTTTAGTGAGTCGATAAAATTAGTATCCAACATTATTGGGGACTAAATATTGGTGGATTCCGCTTTCGGCTGATCACCCAACCAATTAAAATTGCTCTTGTATGCCAGAGCCCAAGGTCAAGAACACTGAAATGGGTACAGTTGGCCTCTATGGGCTGTTGTGCAACAGAGCTTAGTTCAGTACTCCGTTCATAGGTTTAGTAAAGTCAAATGGGATAAATGTCGGAAAAATTTTCTGGATTGCTTTGAATTTGGACTATCGCGAGTTGGTCGCCATGCAACACTGAATAAAATTAATTTTTACTTTGATGAATTTAAGTACTAGCATATGTGTTTCTGTTTAATCTAATAACGCAACGTGATCACAGCTATTGTTATTTGTGTGAAGCCATTGGAAAAAGAACTTGTGTTTTTAAAGTCTCTCAACATAAAAGTTTTCTTAAAGTTTTTTATAGATTTCATTTTATTGCAGAATTTTTCAGTCAACTATTTCTTTTTTTGTTAAGGAATAAAACTTATTAAACAGTTCCATGTTAAAAGGATATACTTACCACTTATTTGTGTGAAGCACTGTAAACTTTTAAAGTGTATTAAATCATATTATGATAAGATAAATATGACTACTCAAAATCACCTAAAATTATGGAAGAGTTGAAAGTACCTTCGAGAAAGCTGTGAGTTATAATACCACTGTTACTGGTTGCATTTTTAAGAAAAATAGTGTTCTTATAACTCTGGTTGAGAAAGTTGCATTTTCAAAATTTTATTTCTCACGAACAATTTGACCGATTATGCTAAAATTGTGTATTTTACCATGTAAAATTTACGTATTTAAAAATGATGTAAAAATTGCATATCTTACAATTCAAAATTTTCAGGTTATTTCATAAAATAATAAATATTTACTAAAGTTTATGTTTTGTACTGAATTATCTTTGGCTAAACGAATTGTATAATAACGTGCAAAATTTTCTTTAATTCGCTTAAATTTAATTCGATCGAGAAATGGGGAAATAAGCAAAAAGTTAAATTAAAATTAAGGGGTCCAAACTTTGGACTGCTTTCTCGACTAAACTATAGGGATAATATTTTTCAGATTGCTGTTCCGCCCTATATTTAGGGTGATCCAAATGCGTCGAACAAAGTTATTTTTGTTCTAAGAAAGAACATTTTTCTGTCTGATTTCGTAACTTAAAATATCGTCTGCGATAATTAATTATCGCCCCCCGTCGAAATATTAAGATTGATTTTTAGAATGTGAAGATCTGATCATTAGATCAAAAGATATTCAGGGTGGTCCGTTTATTTTTTGCACACTGTTCAACAACGCATATGATATACAATACCTTTGACTTACCCGTGACTAAATAAAATAAATTGTAATTTTAATTAATGAATTTTCTGATTCAAAAACAGGTGTTGAAAAATATAGGCTTGGATTTTGCCTTCATATTAAAATTTGTACTTAAAAAAGATAACAGTATTAAGCATACAATTTTTATTTTATCTAAATCTAAACTTTCTTTCTGTCAAAATTAAGCACTTTATTATATTGTAAGAAAGGACTCTAAACTTAGCATAAAAAATCGTATCCTTTATTTCGCATAAATACTTATTAATTAACGTTCATTTGTTTCGCAAAAGAACAAATAATTTTTTAAACGGTTTTATGGAAAATTCTTATTAGGAATTTCATTAATTTTGAAAAATTAAATATTCATACTTATAAAAATGCATATTAGGATTTGATGTCATTTTATTTATTTATTTGTTAAATTTAAGTGGCAGGAGAATATATCCTTTTTAAATTAAACGTGTCTGTGTTACTACTTTTTTCGTTTGGGCAATTTTTTTCTTAGGTATTTATCATGATTATGTATGTAAATTAACTTTATTAGAAAAAATAAGACTCGTATTTTTACCATGGCATACTTATAATGTAAAAATCCTTACTAAAATTTGATTCTTTCTTTATTTATTTTTGGAACCTAAGAGGTAGGTAAAAGCAGATTATTTTTCTCAACTTGAACGTGCATTTATAACTACTTTTTCATTAGCGTAATTTTTTCTGTGTTCATCATGATTAACATTATTAGGAAAAATAAGAAACTTATTAACATTATTAGAAAAAACAAATTAACATTATTAGGAAAAATAAGACATTTATTAACATTATTAGAAAAAATAAGAATTGCAAATTAACATTATTAGGAAAAATAAGACATTTATTTCAATCATGGCATATTCAAAACATAAAATCCTTATTAAGAATTGAGACTATTTTATTAATTTAATGAACTAAGGAGGCAGCCAACAATAGAATAACTGAAACGTGAACGTAACTGAACTTAACTGAAACGTAAACGTAACTGAACTTAACTGAAACGTGAACGTAACTGAACTTAACTGAAACGTGAACGTAACAGAACTTAACTAAAACGTGAACGTAACTGAACTTAACTGAAACGTGAACGTAGAACTACTTTTTCATTAGTGTAATTTTTTCTTGTGCGTCTATCATGATTATTAAATTGATAATTAATACTATTAAATTAATTTAAATTAATATTATTAAATCAACATTATTAAGAAAAATGAGACATTTATTTTAATCATGCAATATTTATAATATAAAATCATTATTAAAATTATCCTTATTATTTCTTGCGTTTTTATCATGAATAAGTATACAAATTAGCATTATTACGAAAAACAAGACATTTATTTCAATCATGGCATATTTATAATGTAAAAAACCATATTAAGGTTTTATGCCATGTTATTTATGGAATTCAAGTGGTAGTTAACTAAAGAATTTATCATTAATTAAAACGCGATTGTATTGCTTCTTTTTCGTCAGATTAATTTTTCCTGTGTGTTTATCTTAATTAAGGGTCCAAATTAACATTGTTAAGAAAAACAAGACATTCATTTCAATCATGACATATTTATAATATAAAATCCTTATTAAGAATTGATGCCATTTCATTTATTTAATAAACCTAAGTGATAGCAACAATAGAATATATCCCCTTAACTCAAAGGTAAACGTAAAATTACTTTTATTGTAATTTTTGTTATGTGTCTATCATGATTATGTATACAAATTAACATTGTTAGGAAAAATAAGACAATTATTTTAATCATGCCATATTTATAATATAAAATCCTTTTTAAAATTACCCTTATTATTTCTTGCATTTTTGTTATGATCAGGTAATGCAACATTATATTATAAGGAAAAATAAGAAATTCATTTCAATCATGGCACATAATTATTATTCAATATTATTATAATTATTATAGAATCTTTATTAAAAATTGATGCCATTTTATTTTTTCAATAAACCTAAGTGGTAGTTAATAATAGAATAAATCCCCTTAACTCAAACGTGAACGCTAAGTTACTTTTTCGTTAGTGTTTTTATTTCTTGTGTGTACAACTTACCTGCTTAAAGCTACGATACATAAGTTGAATTTCTTTTTTAGAAAACTTTGTTTTCCGACACAGCTCTTCCAGATTGTTGGTGGGAGCATGGTATCTTGAATGGTGGCTACCCAAATCCATGGACGGGCACCGGTCGGGACCTTCTCCGGCCCCGGCGAAAGAAAGGCCAGTTCTCCGCCACTATTTTTTTACTTAAAACTACCGAATCAGAAATCAAATAACAACTACAAAAACATCAATCGCGAAAAAACAGATGGCGTAAACTGGCAAAAAAATGCATTACGCGGAGGGAAATGCTATGTTGGCTTCCCTGCCGAGCTCTGCGTGGAGGAAGAAAATTTCAAAGCGTCACGACAAGTTCAAGACGTATAATGTTGTGTGAGTTATCGGCCGATGTTTATTTCGACGAAGAACAGCTGGAGCGCCAAGTAGAATCCGATTTCCTCGCCAAGGGATTCTATTACGCAATAGGCTACGAAAGAATAGTTTGACATGGATATTAATAATGACATTTATTGTGAGAGTTTTGAGTCCCTAATGGATATTAATGTTATTGTTTACTTCTAAGGAAGCTTTAGTTACTAAAATAAAGAGACACTGCTGACAAATTAGTATCGGTATTAGATTCGTTTTGATGTTATTATTGTTAACCATTATAATTAAATGATTTCGGTTGAATAAGTACGTCGAATTGAATTAGGGTTTTATTAATGGTGTCTGAATAATTGGCTCTTTTTTCTTATGGATACGTTTTAGATTCGTAAAAACTAAACCTATTGTTGGAATATTAGAACTAATAAGTAGATTTCTTGCAAAACTATTCTTTTGATAATACAGTCGATGCAACGAGTAAGGCAGGAGGATTAATGACTAATGACAGATCACGTTTCCATTTCACTTTAAATAGCTTAATATTACAAATGCAAAATTTTTTGTTTTTATAGAGAGTTAAAAATTATTTGCCCTTCGCTATCATGACATTTTTAGAGAAGAAATACATTATGCTTAATTGAGTAATCTAAACTCAGTGGCACGACAGCCCATGGAGGGCCAAGGCCTACTGTGCCCATCTCAGTTTTCTTGACCTTGATTCAGGATCCAGCCTATTGATTGAGTAATATAATACAATAACGGGCAAACTGGAAGACTTTTTTTATATTCTTAGTATCAATGCAGAAAAGGGAAAAACAAACATCATTTTCTTTTATTTTTTTCTGACAGTCTTAACCTTTTTATAAAATAAATTGCGTAGGCGACTGCCAGTCAAATTATCTTCTTCCTTACAAAAGGAAAGTTTTTCTGGCATTTTTAATCACTTTAAATGGATACTTCGTTTTCTAACCAGCATATTTTAGCAGCTTTGTCAATATTCAGTGTTATAAATGATATCAAAAGCTGTTGCACTCTACCGTATCGATCCTTTCCTGATTGTATCGATCTCTCGCTGTTATATCGATTCTTATTGGCAGTTGAAATGGGACATTTGTTTTTGTTAGCAATCGTTCTTTCCATTCTACTTCGAGTAAGCCTAGTTCGTCAAATGCGATTTCGTAATTGATTACAGTATCGTGAGGTAATCTCGCAACTAATGAGTTCTTGTAAATAAATAAAATATGTAACAAATACCTAAAAAAACAAAAGAAATAAGTTATTAGTTTCCCCTTATTAACAAAAAAAGCCGACAATAAAACAAGCCTAACATTTGTAATGTTAACATGCCATCTTGTTTATAAGCAACCAGTTGGCACTGAAGCTATAGGTCAGGTGGCTGCGTATCAGTGGTCTTCTTCTCGAAACGAGAATATCTCATTCCTTCGGCTGTTAGTTATAAATAGTCACTATAATGGACTTTCACTCTAGATGGTAAACACTGAGATACTTAACCAGCATAATAATTCAGGAATTCAAACAAGGCAAATTTAAAAACCAAGGATATTTTCAAAATTATATACTTTAAATAAGTAAATAAAAATGGCTTATTTCGGATATGAACTAGGTTCTTTCTCAACATTTTCAATACTCGATATAAAGCAATATTTCACAATGTTTATCCTCCCTCTTTTATTATTTATGTACAGCGCTCAAAATAAGAAACAGACTACCCTAAATAACTTTTGATCTAATAATTGGATCTTCACGTTCTAGAACTTACTCTTAAACATTTGGAAGGGTGACTTCAATTATACTAATAAATTAGTGCAGACGATGTTTTAAGTTATGAAATTAGACACAAAAATGAACTTTGTCTTAATAAAAATACTTTTTTTTTGACGGGTTCGAATTTTTAACCTTTAAAATATAGGAGGTTAGCCGCAATACGGGAAATATAGTCCTAATAGTTTAGTCAGGATATCAGTCCAAAGTTTGGACCAATTAATGTTAATTTTACTATTTGAGTATTTCACCATATCTCGGGAACTTTTTAAGCTAATTTAAATACTTTTGCACACAATTATAAAATTCATTTACCCTACTTTTAAAAATTTATTTATTAGTTTAACTTCTTTAAAAAAACATTAGAATTAAATTTATTGTTATAAATTGTGATAGTTCAAATTATAATTTTTCATATTACTTGAATTAAGTGCTTTGCTTTTGATAAAGCATCTGCTTTTTGAAAAAATATTTGTTTTCTAAGAAGATATTGATTGTAGAAAGCTTTAGAAATGAGCTAAGAAGAAAATTATTTAATATTTAAAGAACTGGACTAACTGTTATAAAACTTGAGTATCTTGTAAGTAATTTCATATCTCTCATATGGGAAGAACATTAAACCTCTAATGGTGTTAAATACTGAGACCATAGACACAAAAAATACTTCTTAAACAAATACTGTTTATGTGTACCCGCAAATGACATCACGTGTTGGCATCGAATCTTATTGGCTGTTTAAATCATGGCATTTTTGAACAGCCAACTTGGTTTGAAACCCACTCATGATGTTGCTTGCTGGTACCCAATAAAATTCGATCCCAAAAATTGATTCAGTATGATGATAAACTGAGCCTAATAGCTGTCACTTTAACACGCCTTTTTATGTATACACAACCTGCTGAATTTAGTGCTTTTCTTCTTCTCGAGCGGCAAGCATCCAATTATATTAGCTTATAATTTTTTTTAAAAAACAGTAAAATTATTTACTAGGTATTAACAACAGAACTAAAACAATAATAAAAATATAACTGCAAATGAATAACATCATACACCTAGTCAAAGCACGGAGTTAAAGAGAAATTTCGCCGAGTTCGATAATGGTTACCATTTTCTTCGTCTTTTAAGACCTTTTTTGGACAATTTTTTTAGCTCTTGTTGTAATTCTCAAACTTTAGGTACAGAAATTTTAGAAAAAAACCAAGCATTTCAAAACAAGAAATATTAAAAAGGATGTTAGTGTCAAAGTTGTATAATTCTTAGGCCGCTATTGCATTAAACATAAATTTATTATAGATGATGGAAAACCAAATATTTCTTTAACAAAAAACTAACTAAATTATGCGATATTGGAAGAGAAAATTGGATAATTATAAGGGACGTAACTCGATTCTAGATAAGTATGATCGAAATTGAAATAATGTACGCTGGCATGATTTTATGATGCAGCCGCATGATTTCTTTTTCGTTTTTCGTATCTTTTAAATTTGATGAATAGTCTAATAATAAATAATACCATTAGGCAGGTTGTTTGATTTTTTAAAGCTTGTTGCGCCCTTTCAGTAATTTGAAACAAAGATTTTATAACGTAATAGGAGTCGATTTTTATAAAAATGTCTATTTTTGGCAGAGAAGCCTATAAGTTAATATTTTAAAAAATTAAATTTGTTTAAACAGCATACAGTTAAATTACATTGTTTATGCGAAACCAGCATTAAAATATTACTATTTTTTTTACTAAAAGAATACTTTTTGCGAAGACATTTTTGTGAAAAAAATAAAGACAAACAATATATATATATATATATATATGATGCAATATTGGAAAGCACTATTTTTTGCGGATATAATCGTGTGAGCAGATGAAAAGATTATTTTTTGTTATCTTTTCTCAGTTTTTATGTTATTTTTGTTTTTATTATTACTTTTCTTCCTCTTTTTTACCCTTTTTTCATTGTTCTGTAATTTTT